TAGATAGATAGATAGATAGATAGATAGATAGATAGATAGATAGATAAATAGATAGATAGATAGATAGGTAAATGGATAGAGAGCTCTCCCTCTCCCTCTCCCTCTCCCTCTCCCTCTCCCTCTCCCTCTCCCTCTCCCTCTCCCTCTCCCTCTCCCTCTCCCTCTCCCTCTCCCTCTCCCTCTCCCTCTCCCTCTCCCTCTCCCTCTCCCTCTCCCTCTCCCTCTCCCTCTCCCTCTCCCTCTCCCTCTCCCTCTCCCTCTCCCTCTCCCTCTCCCTCTCCCTCTCCCTCTCCCTCTCCCTCTCCCTCTCCCTCTCCCTCTCCCTCTCCCTCTCCCTCTCCCTCTCCCTCTCCCTCTCCCTCTCCCTCTCCCTCTCCCTCTCCCTCTCCCTCTCCCTCTCCCTCTCCCTCTCCCTCTCCCTCTCCCTCTCCCTCTCCCTCTCCCTCTCCCTCTCCCTCTCCCTCTCCCTCTCCCTCTCCCTCTCCCTCTCCCTCTCCCTCTCCCTCTCCCTCTCCCTCTCCCTCTCCCTCTCCCTCTCCCTCTCCCTCTCCCTCTCCCTCTCCCTCTCCCTCTCCCTCTCCCTCTCCCTCTCCCTCTCCCTCTCCCTCTCCCTCTCCCTCTCCCTCTCCCTCTCCCTCTCCCTCTCCCTCTCCCTCTCCCTCTCCCTCTCCCTCTCCCTCTCCCTCTCCCTCTCCCTCTCCCTCTCCCTCTCCCTCTCCCTCTCCCTCTCCCTCTCCCTCTCCCTCTCCCTCTCCCTCTCCCTCTCCCTCTCCCTCTCCCTCTCCCTCTCCCTCTCCCTCTCCCTCTCCCTCTCCCTCTCCCTCTCCCTCTCCCTCTCCCTCTCCCTCTCCCTCTCCCTCTCCCTCTCCCTCTCCCTCTCCCTCTCCCTCTCCCTCTCCCTCTCCCTCTCCCTCTCCCTCTCCCTCTCCCTCTCCCTCTCCCTCTCCCTCTCCCTCTCCCTCTCCCTCTCCCTCTCCCTCTCCCTCTCCCTCTCCCTCTCCCTCTCCCTCTCCCTCTCCCTCTCCCTCTCCCTCTCCCTCTCCCTCTCCCTCTCCCTCTCCCTCTCCCTCTCCCTCTCCCTCTCCCTCTCCCTCTCCCTCTCCCTCTCCCTCTCCCTCTCCCTCTCCCTCTCCCTCTCCCTCTCCCTCTCCCTCTCCCTCTCCCTCTCCCTCTCCCTCTCCCTCTCCCTCTCCCTCTCCCTCTCCCTCTCCCTCTCCCTCTCCCTCTCCCTCTCCCTCTCCCTCTCCCTCTCCCTCTCCCTCTCCCTCTCCCTCTCCCTCTCCCTCTCCCTCTCCCTCTCCCTCTCCCTCTCCCTCTCCCTCTCCCTCTCCCTCTCCCTCTCCCTCTCCCTCTCCCTCTCCCTCTCCCTCTCCCTCTCCCTCTCCCTCTCCCTCTCCCTCTCCCTCTCCCTCTC